GAGAGAGAGAGAGAGAGAGAGAGAGAGAGAGAGAGAGAGAGAGAGAGAGAGAGAGAGAGAGAGAGAGAGAGAGAATTGCAGAGATTGACACTGTAATCTTCCTTCTGCTCTGGCCTTGGCAGGTACAAGAGAGAGAAAGACGAGAGGGAGGAGATGTTCCCAAGGCGGTATCGGTGATGTCGATCGTTGTCACACATAAGAGAACAATATTGCCTATCAGTGGACTGTCGAGCTGTTCGGCGGACACCAGTTGGAAGAAACAGGACTGATAGATGCGGCGATTGTTAGGGTTGATTTGGCAGAGTCCATCTGTGCGAGCACTTCCCTGGAGGGCATGACCGTTCGTTACAAGCTGTGCACTGCATAATGCACTGCCATGATCGGTGCCATCTTTTTTCGTTCTTTCGTAGCAGTGTGCCGCCTTTCTCTCAGGATGTGAACAGCAATGGATCTACAGGATTGCGACATGAAAGCACTGTTGTCGTGTCTATGCATGTGCAGGCCCGCTGAGTAGGTTGGTTCTTTCATGACTGCGGGCTCTGAAGCCAGATCCAGATGGAGTTTTTCACAGAATTGCCAGGGAGTAATTTTCTCAATAACTTGTCTCTTTTTGCTGTCCAGTGCTTGGGGAGCGGGGGGCTCAAGCGGTCACGGTTTAGGGTTGTTTATTGAATTTTGGCCTTGATTTCGGGTTTAGGGCTTAGGATTTAGGGTAGGTTCAAGGAATTTTGGCCTTGCTTTCGGTTTCGGGTTGGTTTCGGGTCGGTTTTGGGTCGGTTTCGGATCGGATTCGGGTCGCATTCGGGTCCGTTTATGGTTGTTTTTAGGGTCGGTTTAGGATCGGCTTAGGGTTGGCTTAGCGATTGTCGATCATAAGGGCATTCCAATGGCTGTGTGTATGCACATGGTCAAGGAACAGGGACAAGTGCAAGCAATCTAAGTGTATAGGAGTTGACGATCGTCTATTGTGGGAGGCCCCTTTGCAAATTCTTTGTTCTGAAACCCTCAAATGAAAATGTGCAAGTTTAAGCAAACGGTGGTGTTCAAGGGCGATGATTATACGATATATCGCGGATGAATCTGCGGAGGGTAAACGGCTCTCTGGGAGATTTAGTGTGAAGGACTGTTATTGAGACTGGTTTGGGGGGTGGAGGGTAGGGTGGGGTCATAAGTACTTGGATAGGTGATGAGTGGGGCCAGTGGAACTCGGTGGGACTCGATGGGACTTTGTGTCAGGACACGGTGGGACGTTGTATTGGATCCAGATAGCCGCCCTTGGCATCTCTCCACTATTCTGCTGGCATGGGGACGTGAGCCGTCACCTTGCAGCTTTGTTGCAGTCAAACAGTCGACGACTCTTGAGTACTCTAATCCGTGGACCCGTGTTCATGAATGATCTTGCAACCTTGCACATGTTAGTGTCCAATTCTCCTCTACTCATCTGTGAGAACGACTGCTCCAAAAAAAGGGAGGGGGGACGGGGGGGGGAAGGGGAGGAGAATGCTTTACGTGTGTGAGCTTGTGTGGAGGTGGTCTTCTCACTTTCATGTGGTAGTGACTGGTCTAAGTGTGTAAGCTTGTGTGTGCACTGTGCAGACATCTTACTGTGCAAGTCTGCTGCTTCTAGTGTGTAAGTTTGTGTGTGCAGACATTTTACTGTGCAAGTCTGCTGCTTCTAATGTGTAAGCTTGTGTGGCGCAGGAATGTTAGTGTGCAAGTCTGCTTCTTCAAGTGTGTAAGCTTGTGTGTGCAAGTCTGCTTTCCAAGTGCGTATGCTTGTGCCAGTGTGTCCAGACATGTTAGTGTGCAAGTCTGCTTCTCCAAGTTCTTAAGCTTTTGCCCGTGCGTGCGGACATGTTAGAGTGCAAGTCCGCTGCTTCAAGGGTGTGCAGACATGTTCGTGTGCCAATCTGTGGCATGAGTGCTGCAAGTGTGTAAGCTTTGTATGTATAATAACGTTCATATTTGTGTAACTGCAGGCTTCTCACATGTGTCATCTGTAGGAATGAGGATGTACTACACAAGTTGGTCCTTGCTCAAGGGTTCAACCTCTCTGGAGATGCCACAGTGTCATCAAGGGTTGTTAACTTATTGCCCTTTGTTAGGCTTTGTAACAAAAACCATGTCATTGACTGCAGTTCAGTTGGAGTTAACAAATTTGATTTTTTTCTTCATAGATCATTTGCAGTATGATCTGCTGCAAATTTCTCTTCATAGATCATCTGCAGGACATGTTTTGAAGGATAAAAACTATTAAAAAGCGGCCTCTTACAGTATCAGTCGCTCTATCTGGCATGGGCCATGTTAATCTTCTCTGTATCATTCCAAATTTCCAATTAATGGATGTCCCAAAGGATTTTCTGCCTGAATCCTCCCCCCTCCTCCTCATATCTTGAAGTTTGTCAATCTCTCTCTCCCCAACAACCCCTGTTGTTGAAAAGTCAAGCCATTTCATTCCATCCAAATGAACCTTACAAGGACAACGAATGCATTCAAAGGTCCAGATCAGGCAAAGCTTTTGCAAGAGAGCCAAGAGTCAAAATTGTCCACTGACCGACCGTGAACCATTTACAGCCAACAGATAAGACCCCACCACAGCAGCAGGCATTGAAAAGCTGCATACTGACGCCACAGTTTGTCCCCAGTGCCAGTGCCCTTTTATGCCTTTTGTTAAGCCACCAGTAGCTTTCCCAGGCATTTTGCCGAATCACGGCGGCCGCACTCGGCCTCCAGCGGCGGCCAGATGCGCTGCCAAAACTCGGCGTGCAGGGCCCGCGGCCGATATCTGGGAAAGGTACTGGCGGTTTAAAACCCATCAATATCTAATTCCTTGACAGAGAAAAGCACGGCTATCCTGATTCTGATTTACAGATGAAGATGCAGACAGAAAAGCCTTGCTGTAATCAATTCAGCAAACAACACACACAAAGCACACCGTCAGCCAGTTCGCAGCCAGGAGGCTGCGCTTGTGTGGGTTCCATTTTCGTCGTTTCATTTCTTTGTATTTTCGGTAAGGTCGTGCAGTACAACTTCGCTAGGACTGGTTCGTTTGGGGTCTCCCACAGCAGAAAAGAGGGTCCGGTCGCAGTCGTCCCTGAGACCGGTCGTAGGGCAGGTTATCTTGTCAAGGTCATTGCAATTTAGTATAGGGCGCCGTCCATTGTTTCCCTTTTGAGGGATAGAGTTTTTTCCCGTTGCAAACTGGGGGCAGGCGATATGGGTCTGGACGGGCGATTTGGGTCTGGGTCGCCTCGCTTTTGTTTTTTTTTCTCTTCTACTGCATCTTCCCAGAATTACAGTATCGAAGCATTCCGCTGTTTACTACACCCAAGTAACGAAATGTAGAACGGACTGCCCTGCCTCGTTGGCAGGGCTTACTAAGAAAAGAAAAGAAAAAAAAAGAAACGTATTGACTTTCGGAAGAAAAAAAGAAGAAAAAACGCACTTGCAATTGTTTTTTTTTTTTTTTTTTTTTTTTCAAAAACAGTAGCTTTATACTCATAAAATGTTATTGAGGCCGAGTCCTCACAAAATCCCGGAAAGAAAAACTGACGGGCTAAAATCAAAAGAACAAGAAATGATGGTCTCTGTCCTAAAAGGAACAGAGAAAAACAACCAAAGAAAAATGTAAAAGCAAGAAACAGAGCAATAAGGGGAAAGTCAGGGTTACCTATTCTAACAGCCAATCCTACCTTAGTCTTAACTAGTTGATCCCTTTCTCAGACCCTGGGGCAATCTAAAAGCATAACACTGCCTCAGCACGTCCCCCACTTTGGAACGCTCTGCCCACACCCCAAATCCACTTATCTGCCGTCCTACTGCGGACTAAACCAACCGAGTGTTCAGGTTGTGGGCCCATGCAGGAGCCAAGGCGCCAGTGCCAGATGCCCCTGGCTTGTAACTACTGCCAGTTTATTCCTCAGTCCCAACCCCCAGGTATTCAGAAACCATCTATGTCTCTTTCTGCCTGGCTTTTTCTTTAGCACTTTCGGAGCCCAGTCCACCAAGACCGCTGTACGCAACTGATGGCGAATTGCCAACTGCATCCGTTGTGGCACTACTGATTCATTTCTGACAATTTTGGCATTCCTTCCCTGCCATAATGTCCAGAGTAGAATAGACCTGGCTACTTGGGCTACGTACCCCCATCCAGTTTTACTGTTTAGGTGGATCAGCAGCCATCCGGTTAGAATCCAGTCATCAGTCCACACCAGGACATTGTTGGTCAGGTTTTTCCAGTGTTCCCTCCACCAAGTCCACAGTTGTCGAGCTGTTGGGCAGGCAGTCCACAAGCAAGTGTCGAGTGGATTCCTCTCCGTCATCACATTGTACACAAGCCAAATCTACTTCCATTCCTCGTTTTCGTAGCCAAGATGTGGTGGGAATAATCCCTCGGGACAACATCCAGAGGAAACCAGCATGTTTCCTAGATGGAAGAAATTGTAGTTGAGCGCAGAGAGCCTTCAACATGTTTTCTTGAGTGTTATCTGAAAGCCCCAAGATTTGCAGCAGTTTCCTCCAAGTCTGTTCCTCTGATTTCAGCGGAGGTTTTAGCATCAGAGAACCCAGTTTTGGAGTCTAGCGTTCGATTGAGATCTCCTTCTGCTTGGGGTCAGTTGTTTCCCAGTAAAAACTCTGTGGGTCCAAGCGCAGCTGCTCTACTGGGGTTCCCCTGCATAGCAGTCTTACCGGTTTCCCCCCTCGCCATTTAGAGGGAATTTCCACCCTCACTTGCGCTCCCAAATCCTCCGGTCGTTGTGTTGTTGTGCCTTTGTAGCAGATATAATTTCCGGTATTGGTGTCCTTCGGGACATCCGTTAAAATTGGAACGATACAGAGAAGATTAGCATGGCCCCTGCGCAAGGATGACACGCATAAATCGAGAAATGGTCCAAATTTTTAAATTAAAAAAAAAAAAAAAAAAAAAAATTCCGGTATTGGTCTGTAGTGCCCATTCCTCCACAATCACTAGATCACCTTCATCTGAAACCACCCGTGCGTAAGCCTTCCCCTCACCATCCACATTCGCCAGTTGGTACCAAGACTGATTGGTGAAGCCATCTTCCAAGATAAGATTCTTCCATTCATCTGGGATAGCGGCTCTAAAGTCTGCTGCTCTTGGCCCGACCTGTCTCAGTCCCCCTAGTTTTTTCCGCAGGTCATTCTCTGTCCTCCACTGTTCCTTTTCCTCATCCCATAGATCTCCAATGGAAACCACCCCACGCTCTACCCACTTCCTGCCAAAACATCCTTTCGCATTGGTAAAGGGCTAGGATCCTTGGATTGTCGAACAGGCTTTGCCTCAACACCGTGCTCTTTGAATCTACTCTGAGATTCCCTGGTCTAAGCTTCTGCCAAGCTTTCAAAATGTCCGACCAGACTTGGGACAAAGAGCCTCGGCGTAGGAAGGAGGTCATCTGTGTGCATATCCAGACGTCCTCCTCCCTACACAACCCCCAATCGTACTGTAGAATATACTCCCCCAAGGTCACCCATGCCCTCTCATCCTCTAGAGTGGCTATCTTTTTTCTTTTTTTTTTTCTTTTTTTTTTTCTTTTTTTTTCTTTTTTTTAACAAGAAAACAACCCAAGTTCATGCTAGGGGTGCTGATAGGAGCAGACACCACTAGCAGGCTCGGGAGGGTTCCATCTATTGGTGGGGACCAACACCTGCTGGAAAGCGGGTCCAGCGTCCCAGATCATTGTAATCGAATGTTCGAACAGTTGTAAATGCGCAGGCACGCGGTGATGGGCAGCATTGATTGCCATCGAGCGAGGGGATTGACTGCCCATCAAACCCTAGGACCCTTACCCTGACCTGATCAACTACTATACTGATACGGTAAGAAGGGGAAAGATCCGGACAAGGTTTGGTTTCTACTTCTGCGATTTTCTACCCAGTGTTGCCAGCGCATGTGTTTCCCCTATAACAGTAATAAACAAAACCCACTCAAGAGGGGAGAACACAAATTCAAAGAGAGAAAACGAAATTACAGGAGGTACTCTTCCACCCTCTCCACGCGGCCGGG